CCGAGGACATCTCCCCCCGCGATGTCTTCATCGCCGTCAAAACCACCAAGAAGTTTCACAAGGCGCGGCTAGAGCTGCTGCTCGACACCTGGATCTCCCGCAACCGCGACATGGTAAGGGATGGGGACAGGGATGGAGACGGGGCCGGTCCCCGCCGCTGGCCGGGATGGAGCGGATCGGGACGGGCTGGAGCCCACGCTTCTCCGCCGTGCTCCTGGCCCTCCGTTCTGCGGGATCCGAGTGGTGCCGTGACCCTGCAAATACCGCCTCCCCTTCCCTTTTCCCCCATATCTCGGAGCCGGGTGGTATTCCGAGGCTGGCTGGGCTGTTCTGCAGCCGACTGTGCTTTCGGGAGGGCAAAACGCAGCGTTGCAGGGTGAGTGATGGAGAGAGCCCGACCTTGGCTCCTCACACTCTGAAGCCTCTCCAAACTCTGCTCTGGGGCCCTTTCTGCTGTGCACCTCCGGCTGCAGAGCTGGTCTGAGTTGCTTTCCGCTGGTGAAACTGAGGCACGGTGTAGGGGTGCCACAGTCCAGCTCAGGCCCCTGCAGTGAGGTGCCTGCAGTTGTGCTGCTCAAAGGACACCCAGTTTTATCAACTGAGACGTGCTGAAGCTCTCGGTCCCCTTGCAGAGGACTGGGCAGGACTGGAGAGGCTGGGAGCTCTTGTGGGTCTGCACTGGCTCAGCCACACCGGGGCAGTTCCAGCGAGTCTGGTTCCTGACCTTACTGATGTCCTGCCCAGAGTCTGGCTGTCCCTTATTCTGTCCTTCAAGTACTGAAACAAAATTCAAAAGGAAAAAAAAAAAAAAAAGAAAGATGTTTCCTTAGGAAATGTGCTTTGCCATTTGCTCTTAAGACACTTTTTCTACCCTTAGACAGCTTCCCAAAAGTAAGTTATGCCTGGTCCTAACCTTTTCTTCCTACTGTCTTCACGTGTTTCCTCCTGGCCTGGAACTCAGTTTCTTGCTTGCAAACAGTTTTCCTTGGAAATCTGGAGTGGCTGAGGGTGGAGGCCATGGGGGAAGGACCGACCTGCCCCTGCCCTCCTCACCCAAGTCTGCTGGGCCTTGTGGGGTCTTGGCTCCTGCACCGTACCCCAAGAATTATCTTGCTACATTTTTTTATTTTTTTCCCTGTGAATTATGTTCCTTTTTTTTTTTTTTTTTTTTTTTTTTTTTTTTTTTTTTGTTGTGCTTCGTTTGTCTGTTTGGATTCCCAGAGCCCCAAGGCTCGGCTCTCACGCTGTCCCCCTGGGCAAGCTAACAAAGCCCCTTTTCTCCTGGTGCAGAGAAAAGGCTTCGAAGCCTCTTGTGTGGCACTTTCCATGGGAACGAGGGAGCCGGAGCCGGCCGTGTCCAGGTCAGGTTGCCTAGAGATGAGGGCCATGAAGCCAGGGGGGCCGCAGCCCGGCGAGGTGCCTGCCTGACAAGCCAAGCCGCTGAGTGACGGCTCTTGTACAGCACTTGAGGACAAGGAGCTGCCAAGAGAGCTGGAGGCAGCACAAACTCCTGCGGAGAGAGGCAGGGCGGTGGGGACACGAGGCACAGGGGATGAAGCCGAGGCACAGGGGATGAAGCCGAGGCACAGGGGATGAAGCCGAGGCACAGGGGATGAAGCCGAGGCACAGGGGATGAAGAAGCCGAGGCACAGGGGATGAAGAAGCCGAGGCACAGGGGATGAAGAAGCCGAGGCACAGGGGATGAAGCCGAGGCACAGGGGATGAAGAAGCCGAGGCACAGGGGATGAAGCCGCGCTGCTGGAGGTGATTGGCTCCGCTCTTCCCACGCCGACACAGCCGCTGTCTCTGGGAGGCTTTGAGACACCCTGGCCTTCCCCAAACTTGGCAGCAGGTCGGGGTTTTTTGCCTGCAGAGTGTAGGATTGGTACTATGGGGCTCTTTTCTCTTGCCTCCCTGCAGTTCTGCATCTCTTCCCTGCCTGGACTCCTGGTTTCCATCCCAGGAGGGTGATTTGGTGGCAGCGGGGCACTGCCTTTGCTCAAACATCTCTCTTGGTCTGAGTCAGGCCTGTCTCTGCTCATCCTCTCTCTCTGGTTTCACTAACGGTGCTCAGGCATGTGAGCTGCCTCAGTAATGCAGGGAAGTTCCTGCCCAAGGGCTGAGAATCTCCCCTGCCTGACGCTGCGTCTCTTTCTCCCGATCTCCTCTCACTCAAACCCCAGCTACCTCTGGCTGTTCATTAGCCAGGCAGGAGGCTGCAGACCCTGCTGAGAAGGGGTTAAATCCAGCAGGTAGCTCCTGCCTGGACCCTGGCAGATAGGGGGAACAGCCATTGTGTCCTTCCTTGGCTGTTCTTTGTTCTGCCCACAATAGTCCCTGTTTCCTGCCCTCTGTCACCTCCAAGACACTGCAAAGGGCACCCCCTTCTCCTTCCTGCCTCTGCACAGGGAGAGCACATCCCTATTCCCTTCTAAATCTCCTCCTTGGGTTGCACAATCCAGGCCGGACAAGCTGCTTTCGGAGGAGAGTTATGGGTTTTCCCCTCCTTGCTTTGGGGAGAGTTTCCAGCTGTCTCGGTATCCTCAGGATGCTGGAGTGCGGGCTGGAGAAACTTTGCACTTGAAAGGAAAGAGAGGGGGGAGGAAAGTGGCCATTTAGCAGAAATCCTGGACAGGAGCAAGTCCAAATCCGCTGCTTTCTTGCCAAAGACACCTCTGCTGCCCCCGGGGTTACCCTGAAGGCGGCTGGGTGTCCCTGGGGCACCCCAGAGATGCAGGCACACGCCAGGGCTGCGCTCCCGGCAGCGTGGGATGCGCTGGCTGCCTCCCGCTCAGAGCCGTAATTGCAGCCTTTGAAAAATTCCTGCTCTCGGGGCAAAGGGAACGGTTTTGCCTTCCAAAGAGCACGCTCCTCTGATGGCGGCTCCCACATTTCTCTAGCACCTTGGCCAGGGTCCCCACCCACATGCTGGAGTGTGCTGGCATGCGAGTCTCACCCGCACTCCCACCAGGGCGGCTGAGAGCAGGGACCGCTCATCCCAAAGCAGCTCCGCGCTGCAGCTGCCTCCCCCCAGCCCTGGGCTGTGTGCCAGGGCCTGCTGAGCACTGCTGAACTCGCATCTTGTGTCAGGGTCCCTCCCTGCTGTCCCCCGGGGCAGCCTGTGTGGGTTTAAGGGGTGGGGGCCCCTTAATTGCCTGTCCCAAACGATGCTGCTGTCCTTGCCCAAAAAAGCCCCGGAGCCGGTGAGCGGCGCGTGGAGCACCAGGCGGGAGGGTGGGGGACCCTTGCCACACAATGAGCTCATTGTTTGTGAGGGGGTTATTAAAAAATTATAGCATTTAAAATTACAGTGGAGGATTCTTCCTCTTGCTGAAAGGAGCAGGGGGAGGAAGGGCCCGCGGCCCTGCAAGCCCCTTCCCCGCCTCTGCAGATCCCAGCCCTGGGATCCTGTGCCAGCACAGACCTGCCCCTGGTCCTGGGGAAAGCCACCACCATGGACTGGGGCTGCTGCCATCGTGGCACGCTGCCATTGCAAGGACATCACCATCACACTGTCCCCAGCTTGTTGAAGAGGAGTGGGGATTTCCACCCCTAAACCCCAAGGCTGGAGGGAAAAGGAGAACATTTGTGGGGGACACAAAGCTGGGCAGCTCTGGCAGCATCCTGACCTGCTCCAGAGCCTCTTGTCCAGCTGGAGACTGAGGGCCCCCAACCAGCACTTCTTCACTGCCTTCTTTCCTCTGCACCCAAGTGGGGTCACTGTGAGAAGGGTGCCAGAGCGCTCCATCCTCTCCCAGCATGGGAAAGTGAGATGTGGCACGGGGTCAGGATTTGTGCACCACAGGCTCACGGGGTGCCTGCCTGGCCAAGGTTCCCCTTTTGGTGGGTAGGATGGTGGCAGGCATGGCAGATGCTGAGAGTTTGTCACTCTGGGAAGTCACAGAACCACTCGGCCAGGCAGCACAGAGAGGGTGACCCCGGGGTGGCCCTGGCTGGTGGGACACCTTGTGCAGCACCCAGCCATGAGCAACTCCACCAGTGGAGGGGAAATGAGTCACCCCGAAAGGAGAAATGAAGGGGAGGCAGAAAAAAAAAAAAAGAAGCAAAAAAAAGCCCTCCCCAAGGGTGAGGAGGAGGCAGTGGGGGCTGCTGGCGGCTGCCTGGCTCCTGGGGGGGGCTGAGCCCATTCTGGCCAAGGGGATCCCGGGTGCCGCTCAGTCCCGGCCGCGGGGCTGCAAGGAGCCGCTGGCAGCTATTGTTCAGGAGGGATTTGGCATCCTGTGTTTCTTGAAGCTGCAGTTCTGAGAACAATGAGGTTTCCTGCAGGGGCTGGAGGGGAGGGAGGGGGGCAGCGGGCCCTTCCTCTCCTGCACCCAGCAGGAAAAGTTACTGCAGGAGGGGTCCAAGAGGTCCTTGCACCCCTCTGTGCTGTGGCTGGCACAGGGGCCAACTGGGAGAGAGGTGGGTGTAAGGGCTGGGAGTGCTTTCTGGCCCTGCTGGGTCTGGAGGTGGTGATTTATAGGTGGAAGCTCAGGGATGTTGGCTGCAGTGTCCACTTGCACCACTATAATAAACTGAACACTGCTTTCACGTCTGGCATCCCACGTGGGAGATGCCAAAGGTGGATTTGTATTTTTCACTTATTCTCATCCTTTCCTGGCCTATCCCTTCCCAGGCTTGGCTGTCACCTCTGCTCCTGTCTCCTGCAGCCCCAGGTGAAGGGCCTTGCATGCAGGGTGCATCTCCCCTCCAAAAAACACAGATTAATTACAAAATTAATTTTAAAAATGAAGCTTCAATTGGTTTAGTTTTAATCAAATGTCATGGTGGGGTTGGGAGGGATATGGGAAGCCTGTGAGGCCCCAGTAGGTGCCCACATGGGGTGACTTGCAGCTGTGTGCCCCTGTCCCAGTCCCTGAGGTGCCACCTGGTCCACCCGCAGCAGGAATATTACAGGGATGGGTGTGGGGAGAAGCTGAGGGGAGAAGCCTTGGTAGGATGAAACGTTTCGGTGCAGGCAAGTAATAAACAATTGTCCCTGTGGTCTATTTATAGAGGCTGAGTGCAGGATTAGTTGTAGGGTTATTTTTGGAGCAGCTGAAGGCAGTTGCTGGACGGCGCTTCTGAGCTAATCAAGCAAACATTTTCTGTCTCGCCTGTGCACAGGCTGTGTGTTCCCTGGCCCCCTCCAGCCAGGCTGAAACCTGGGCTGGAGTGCCAACCCCCCCCAGTGAGATGGTGTTGTCTCGGGCATCCTTGGATACTGTCCAGCTGCCCTGGCTCAATTTGTACCCCAAGCCTGACCCCTCCCTGAGCACCTGGGGGAAATGGGGAGCAGCAGCTGTACCCCGAGTTGGTTGGGGGTGACACCCCCGCCTCCCGTACACACAGCACTGACCTTGTGCCACCCCAGCAGTGATGTGTCCATGGAGACACAGCAACCACGGGCATCCTTGGTCCTGCAGCTGGTGGGTCTCCATCCCCCAGCTGTCCCATCCTCACCAGTGCTTCCCCATCCCCTTTGCTCAGAGCCTTCCTGACCTCTGTCCCTCCCCACAAGCAAGGCTGCATGGCAGGCCGTGCATTTGTGAGAACTTGCCTTCCCACCTCCTCCATCATTTTTTTCCCCCCAACTTTTTCTTTTCTCCTTTTCAAGCCCCAAAGGTCACTTGTAGCCCCGTCCCCTCCCATTGAGCCTCGCTGCAGCTCTGGGCTCTCCCCACCAGCCCCGGCTGGGGACCTGAGCAAACAGGGCCGGGTTAACCAGTGCAGCTGTATGCTAATGACTGCTGCCCGCTTAACTCTCCTCGCTGAGTAAAGTCAACCCCACTATTGTACCCAGCTCCTCAAACAAGCCACAAAACCCCAGCGCGTTCCCGGGGCCGGCTGCGGGGTGGCACCCAATTTCCAGCTCACTTGTAATTCATCATCCCCAGCGCTCCATCGTCCCCCCTCTGCTGCCTCCTGCCTTCCCCCCACCCCAGCCCTTTTGTCTTTCTTCCTTTGCCCTTTTGTGCACGTCTGGTTTTTAATAGCGCTTGGCAGCTGGTTGTGGTTTCTCTCCTCCAGCTTTGTTTGCTGCCCGCTGATTGATGGCGATGCCTTTCCCACCCCCCTGCTCTCTCCTCCTGCTTCTCGGCCTTCCCCAAATCCCAGGCCCAGAGCAGCCCCTCCAGTCCTCCTTCCTGGGTGACATATGCCAGGAATTAGCTGTGTAAATAGAGGAGTGCAGCCAGGCAGGCAGCTCAGGGGCCTGGGGAGGAGGTCAGGTGCTGCCTGGCACCGTGGGACTGTGCTGGGATGGGGCAGTGGGGAACCATCTCCTCCTCGGGGCTGGCAACCAGGCAATCACAGGCACCAGGGTCTCAGCCCCCTTGGGTAGGACACAGGAGCAGAGAGGAGTCCAGGAGGTATTGTGCAAGGGGCCAAGGACAGCCACGTGCTGTTGACACAGGTGGGGACTCGGCTGGGAGTCGGCGCCATGGGCAAACACACCTGCCCGGGCGGCAGCTCTGGCATCCGCGGCCACGCGCGCCGGCTCAAGCCTGAAATCCCTGCTCAGATCAGGCCGCGCTCTGCACCTGCTCCCCTCCATGCCCCCGCCTCGCCCTGTGCTGGGGACAGCCCCTGTGGCCCCCAAAATCTCCCTGCCAGCTGCTCCCCGTGCAAAAGGCAAGAGGATGGGGATGCTCCGTGCGGGGGCTGGGGTTTGCTCCCAAGGCGAGCTCAGCACCCTTCTTGGTCCGAAGCTGGGTGTGTTGTGTGGGTGCCCGGCTCTCCGGTGCCACTTGGGGTTTTGACAAGGGGGAAGAAGTCAGCACCACCCTCCTGGAGGAACTGATCCCAGGGGTGCTGTGTCACGTCCAGAGCCACATGGTCTCAGCCCCTCGGTCCTCAGAGGTGCCTCGTCTTCTCTTTCAGACCTTCATCTTCACTGACGGGGAGGATGAGGAGCTGAAGAAGCAAGCACGTGAGTCTGTGGCTCTTGTCCCTTTGTGTGTGTGACCTGGCCAGGTCCCCTGAAAGGTCTCCCACCTGTGGAGCACGGCTGGCTTGGTGCCTGTCCCATGAACTCTGAAAAAGCCCTTGCCACAGTAACCTGGGTTGAGAATGATACAATTTGTTAATGCTTAGAGCACCCACTGCTTAAAGTACCCATCTGGGGACAGGTTTACTCCCCAGTCAGCCCAGCCCGTGCCCTGCATGATGCTGGTGGGGGTCACAGTTACAGGGTGGGGTGCCTTAGCACCACTTTGTCCCTGGGGTGAGCTGGGATTGATGGCAACGTGGACAGAGTTTCATGGGAGCATTTTCTGGGCTGGGGTCAGCCTGGTCTATTCTCCCCATGCAAATGACTCCTTTTCAGGCTGGGAAGTGATTGCCTTTGAGCTGGGCAAACAAAACAGGGCAGGATTTTTTACTACCATGTCCTGGGGAAGCTCAGGGGGCTCACAGACACCCCTTCACCTCCAGGGTGGCTGGTGCACCCTGGGCAAGGTGATGTGGGGTGGCATCATGCTTAAAACATGGATAGGGCTGATCTGTGGTGCATCTGCTGCATCCACATTCCTTATTCATCCCTTACCTTCTCTCACATAGACACAAAAGACATTGCCACAAAAAATTCATCATTTGTCCAAAACAAATTAGCATGTGGGTCACTAAGCATTGGGATCATCCATGAGTTTCCATCCCCCTGGCACACCTGGGATGTGTGTGGTGAAGTGTCACCGTTTGAGTGCGTGGGGACGTGTGGGATGCACCAGTGCTGGGTTTTGACCCCTCTTTTTTCCCCGCAGGAAACGTCATCAACACCAACTGCTCGGCTGCCCACAGCCGCCAGGCCCTGTCCTGCAAGATGGCCGTGGAGTACGACAAGTTCATCGAGTCTGGCAGAAAGTAAGCGGTGCCCAGGGCTGCTGTGGGCCATGACAGGGCTGAGGGGGTGCAAACAGAGACCATTTGTGGTTATGGGGTTGTACCTCAGTGTGGGGCCTGGGGAGCTGCCCGGGTTGGGTGTGACACTGCTGTCACTGCAGGTGGTTCTGCCACGTGGACGATGACAACTACGTGAACGTGCGGATGCTGGTGAAGCTGCTCTCCAGCTACCCCCACACGCAGGACATCTACATCGGGAAGCCCAGCCTGGACCGGCCCATCCAGGCTACGGAGAGGATCAGCGAGAACAAGATGGTGAGTGTGGGGAGAGTTTGGGGATTGTTTAATTTGTGCTGGGTGGAGAAGGAGCTGTTGTCTCACTGCGTTGGTTCCCCTCTCTTGCAGCATCCTGTGCATTTCTGGTTTGCCACGGGCGGAGCAGGGTTCTGTATCAGCCGGGGGCTGGCACTGAAGATGAGCCCTTGGGCCAGGTAAGAGCATTGGCATTGCTCTTTCATGGGGACTCCTCATGGTCCCCAGGGCACAGAGAGGTGAAGGCTGCTGGACCATGTCCCACAACCTTTCTCTCTTTGCCGTTCTGGGGGTGTCTGCAGGGAGCTTAGAAACAAGCTGGGAAGGGCTTCATTTCCTCCAAACTGGCTTTTAATCAGAGCTGGGCACCCACTGGCCAACCCCAGAATCCTGCAGGGTGCCCACATCCCCTGGGCTTTGCTCCTCTGCAGCCCCTCTCTGTCTCCCCGCAGTGGGGGTCACTTCATGAGCACTGCAGAGAAGATCCGCCTGCCCGACGACTGCACCATCGGCTACATCATCGAGTCCGTGCTGGGCGTGAAGCTCATCCGGAGCAACCTCTTCCACTCCCACCTGGAGAACCTCCACCAGGTGCCCAAGTCGGAGATCCACAAACAGGTACCCCAAGTTGTCACCTACAAATTGGGCATCACGGCTGATCTATTGATTGATGTGTGACCAAAACAGCGGAGGGGAAAAGCCCCATCGGCCCATCCCTGTGGGATGATGTGGGGCATCACTGGAGGCTTTGGGGGATCACTGGAGGCTTTGGGGGAAGTGGGGTGAATTTTGCAGCTCCCCTTTCCTCTGCTTGATCATCATGGCCACATCAGCCACTTCACCCCTCTGTGCTTGCCCCCCAGGTGACACTGAGCTACGGCATGTTCGAAAACAAGCGCAACTCCATCCACATGAAGGGAGCCTTCTCTGTCGAGGAGGACCCATCCAGGTGAGATGGGGGTCCCTGTCCCCCCCAAACCAGGCTGTCTTGGGGCCGCCACTGCCCCGTGCTCAGCTTTGCTCCTCTCCTCCACAGGTTCCGCTCCGTGCACTGCCTGCTGTACCCCGACACGCCGTGGTGCCCCACCAACATGGTTTACTAGGAGGAGCGCGTGCCCTCCAACCTCGTCCCGAGTTTCCCCGGTATCCGACGGGCGTGCGGGACCTGCGTGCGGGTGTGTCGGTCCGGCCTCGCCGCGAGGCGGACGGACGGACGGACGTCGTTGCTGTGGTATTGCACAGTGTGTGTGTACTGAAGGCTGCTGTGCGGCCCCTTGACCCCTGCCCTGCCTGCCCGGCTGCCCGTGCCCTCTGCCTGGTCTGGCCGGGATGGTGGAGAGGGACGGGAACTGAGCACTTAACCACTGGGTGTCCCACGGCTGGCGGGCCCCACGCCATGCGTG